AATGGAATAGAATCAGATGGACCCAAAGCAGAGCCTCATTTCCCTGCAGCAATTGTCTATCTTTATCCTGTAGGATTCAAAAGCAAGAGAAGAGGTCTGTAAACACAGTAGTTCAAGCTGCATAGCCTGGAGTAGGAAAGCAACCCTCTCTTGGGCAACTCTGCAACCTCTCTGCCTCAGTTTTCCCATCTGTTCTATGGGGAATGTTTGTTAAAGTTCACAGCTTCCCCAAAGGTGGCTGAGTATCGCACATTTTTACAAAAAAAACCTCAAAGCAGGAACCCTCTGGCAGTGTCTTCTTTTCTCATCATTTATTCTTACATCATTTGTAAAATAAATAGTCTAGCAGATGAACAATTAATCAGAACTAATTCAATGGTGGTCATTAAGTGACTTTGGTATTTGTAAAATAGATTCCTAAGCATACTGAAATGCTGTATATCAGAACGCAAAAGGCAGAGCTCCCATAGTGCCTGTCCGTTCACTGGAGGTTGGAAGGAACAAAGGCCTCCCAGAGACAACTGTTTCCTGAGGACAAGTTTGCCAGAATGGCTCAAATTTCCCCTGGAGAGCCACTGTTGGAATTTCAGCTTTGACCTTCTGGAGAATCTATATTAAAATGCAAATTTGTTACCTAGGGATGTAATTTTTAACCCATTAATACCTATTTGCTAGCATTTTAACTCAAACTATCCTTTTCTTTTCAAATTAGCTAGAGCTGAGAGCAGTACTTGAATAGAAGCAAATCTAAGCCTCTGAGGTGGACTCAGGGTGAGTTTTGAAGGTCCTTGAGTTCTGGGGACACATCCCCACCACTGTCAGCACCAGCATTTGCAAGAGTGCCTGAGTGCCCGTGTGTGCACAAACACACACAAGCCCAGAGGAGACTTAATAGTCTGGACTGTGAGCAGCATTGCCCAAAAGAAATATAATGCATCCCACGCTGATAATTTTAAGTGTTTTAGTAGCCACATTAAAAATGTAAAATGAGCCCTAACCAGTTTGGCTCAGTGGATAGAGTGTCGGCTTGTGGACTGAAGGGTCCCAGGTTTGATTCCGGTCAAGGGCATGTACCTTGGTTGTGGGCACATCCCCAGTAGGGGTTGTGCAGGAGGCAGCTGATTGATAGTTCTCTCTCATCAATGTTTCTAACTCTCTATCCTTTACCCTTCCTCTCTGTAAAAAAATCAGTAAAATATATTAAAAAAATAAAATAAAAAATGTAAAATGAAAAAGATCATATTTTATTTAACTCACTATAGTATTCAAATACAAACTAAATTTGTCTAAAAACAGACTATAAAGACAATCAGGTACTATCAATCTTTCTGGTGTTTTTTTTTTTGTTTTGTTTTTTTCAAAAGGAGAAAGGTGACCCTAATATCTATATAGGATATGTTTCAAGAGTAAGTTTAACTAGTTCCTTAAATTGGGCCTTACACCTCATGTAAGTAAGTCATCTATGCACCAAGAAATCCTGAAGGTACTATATAAACTTAGGAATATTTTTTTAATTTTTTTAACCAAAAGTAATTATGTTTAAGTATTCCACAAAGAAACTTCTACAGAAGGCTATCCTAAAATACAGGGTGGGGCAAAATTAGGTTTATGGTGGCTCATATGGAAAATAATACAATAATTAATAAAAATACAAGAATGAACTGTTTCCAATATGCATATCTGTAAACCTACTTATGCCCCACATTGCACAACTGCCTGAGGGTAGTGGGTGAACTAATGAGAGAAAATAATTTTTCTTTCTCCTCCTTGTCCTCATTGATATTTTTCTTTTATTTAAAGTCAGCAGAAAGAACGAATTAAGGCAAAACGAAAGGAAATGGTTTCAAAGTTTGCCTTGTACATGTGAACACATCTTAGCACGGTGGCATATTTGAAAGGCCAAGTACAAACATCCATTATACTGAAACCCATCTAGTGAACCTTCACCAGCAAAGGGGCAGAAGGATGTTGTCTCTTGGGTGTGCATTTTGGCTTGCTACAAGCTTGCTTGCCAAGGTATTATCACTCAAAAATGCAGTGTAACTGTTCTCACCCACCAGAGAATGATAGAAAATCATAGCACGTGTCAATGCTTGCTGTACCAAAGACATCTTTCACTGGGATATTCTTTACAATGAAAGATGAACTAAAATTTTTAAGATGCGAAGAAGTGGTGAATAAATATGGGATGTACTTACACATTTGTGCACCAAATGCTGGAGGGCTGTGAACCAACCACTCACGGCAAAAAAATAAAAAAATGTACTGAGCCATCAGTTTAGTAGGTCATTTTGAACACAGCAAAAGGGCTGTGTGCATGAAAAACTACTACTATATTTTCAGAGATCCTTTCTAAGAATCCTGAAATATTAATAACATGGTCTTAATGTAGTTGAAGACAAAAGAATGTGGCAAGGGTTGCTGAGAATAGCACAATGACAATTTGGTATTTTCAGCTTGTGCTTGTAAAAGCAAGAGGAAAAGAGAATAAAAATAGTTAGTGTGTTTAAAGAACAGCAGCCTTCAATTTTACAAATAGGTAAAAAACCATATTCTCCAATTGAATTCACATGTACATATTCTTGATAGCACACTAATACTAGCTTCAAGGAAATGTAGAAAAAATACACAAAAATCCAAACTAGTTTTTTCTTGAATTAATATGTTCATAGGACTAATTTTTGAACGTTAAGAAATTAAAGACATCCTCCACTATGATTTTTGTGAACTATGGATTTAATTTTTTGACTGGATGTAGTCTTACTGGAATGGAAGTTGAAGAATTAGCAATGCTTCCCACCGCTCTATTTTTCTTACAAGCTTTTGAAGGAGCCGTGTTTTCCCATTGCAATGAGTCAGCCCCAGGCCAATTTTCATTGTCAATCTTTCACTGCCATTGTGAGTTTTAAGATTTTGATGCCTGGTGAAATGGGGGTGCACAAGGATTAGGAACACGGAGAGTTTTCCTCCAACATCCAGAAGTGAAATAATAAAAGCAATGCATGCCTTCTTGGCCGTCCTCGCACCCTGGGACAGGTTGCCTTTGCGGGCTGTGGCTGAGTGAGTGACAGACAGGACCCAGTGGGTTTGTCCCGAGTTCAGGGACTCATGGTCTTTGATGTGGGACAGACAAGCCAGTGCTTCTTTCTGCCAAACCTGGAGTTTCTGATTTTAATCCAAACCCTAGGGCCATCATAAGCATGACCAAAAGCACCTTGCATGTTGAACCCTATCTAATTATGTGGACTGTATAAACTCGAGACACATAAATCTCAGTCACTGGAGCAACTTGTTTTTCTAAGATGCTCCGGTCCAGTGAGAGATGAAAGCAAATAAGGGAGAGATTGATCTCTGAGCGCTTTTATGGTCGGTGCGCCACACGTCATAAACTTCTGGCTCGTTAAAGGAAATTCCATAAACAACTTTAGTTAATAGCGACGAAGGAACTGGGTGCCTTTCTGGAGCTTCTGCTAAACTCCCTTTCCACTTGGCGATTACAAGAGCACGATTAAGGAAATACCAACAGGATGTGCAAGAGGGAGGAACAGCCTTCAACTGGAAGCCACTCGGATGCTTGATGGATGAGTAATGAGACAAGGGAATGAGGCTGCTCAGAGAATCAAGCAGTTTTGTGGACCTCTTTGTCTCTCCTCATTTGAATAAAATCTGCTGGCTTGCTGGCATGGTTGGTCTCTTCTGGTGGGTCAGGCTGATGGAAACTTGCCTGATGGGTTCTTCTCCCAATTGGTATTCTTGATAGTATAGAAACATTTTAAGGAGGTGATAACTGGAAAGAATTGAGAGTGGATCACACTGGAAAGATTGTCGGTAACTGTCACTTTTTTCCCCCTCTGGTCTTTGAAATAACTTTATGTTTAATGACCTTGTCACTGTGGGTTTAATACTGATGGTGTTGGTCAATTTTTATTTGAGATTGAGACAGATTTGGGAGGTGATCGTGAAGGGTATAGGGAGAAAAAAGGGGAGCATGGCTCTCTTAATTATTTTTTATTGTGAGGTTTCCCAGAATTAGTGGGTTTTTCCACATTAGTGAAAGCAGTCTTCGGTGTCAGTGTGATGATGTTTGTAAAGATGAAGTCATGGAAAGTGTGTCAGGTGCATAAGGAACTATATGGCCCATGTTCTCTGCATCAGCCCCTTGGTGGTGGTGGAGGGGGGCGGGGGGGTGTGGAGGAAGGGAGGGGAGTGTTGAAAACCTGGGGAGGGTTTTATTAATTTGAAAATAAGCACAAACTATCTTCTGATCTTAATTTTTTTAAAACACATTATATTCCAGAATCTACTATTGGTAGTATCTAGAACTTTCCCCAGAAATTTTGACTCACGTCTGAACAACTCTTCTTTTCTTTTGTGCTCTGTTGTTTTTGTTGGTCTTTTCCCTTTGGCCCTCTCTGTAGCTGTAATTAGGAAATAATCAGCAACCAATTTTTTTTGTTGGCACTTGGCTATACTTCCAACTGGTTGGTTCAAGACCATGCTCTCAGATTTCATAGCATGTGGCAAAGAGTGCAGGCTTTGGGGGCAAGACATTTAGGGTCAAAGCTGGCCCCTGACATTTACCAGATGCATGGTCAGGTACTGGCAATTTACTGCTCAAAGCTGGTATTCTTCATTCCTAAGGTAAGGCTAATAAGAGTACCTATGGAAAAGAGGCGCCGGGGGATTAAACACTGTGCATATAAGCAGGGTCCCAGCACACAGGAAACACTGGGGAAACTTTAGCTGTGATTTTATTGATGCCACCAGTTTTAAGAAAAATTTTTCCATAGGGCTCCTCTGCCCTCTGACCAGAAATGTTAATGTCCCCTAAAGAGTGACTGTAATCCATGCATGTTTTTGGTTGCTTTACCTGCATCTCAAGCCAGGCGATCACTAGTGATGAGCAAAAATGTCTCCCTTCTTCGGAATCAAGGAGGTGATGCTATGCTTTGCTATATTAGCAGCGGTTTATATTGGTTTGTTTTTCTTCTTTCCTGTAGCCTGCAAAATTGGCTATTACAAAGCCCTCTCCACGGATGCCACCTGTGCCAAGTGCCCACCCCACAGCTACTCTGTCTGGGAAGGAGCCATATCCTGCACCTGTGATCGAGGCTTTTTCAGAGCCGACAGTGATGCTGCCTCAATGCCCTGTACCCGTAAGTTGTGTGATTGTGTCTCGTTTATACAATAGCAACAGCTTTCATTCCCACCTAGCGGGGCATTGCCAGGTCTTCTCCCAGGATAACTGTGCAGGGGGCAAATTACATCAAGCAGGCCTCTTTTCTTAATCATAGCAGGGAAATGATTATGAAAAGAAAGGATCTTTTTCACTGTTCTGTTGCCTTCAAAATGCACAGCTGCCAGCAGACGACTTTGCAGAGCAGAGATTGAGCATTCAGGGGTCGTCTGACAGTGTAATTAGATCTGAGGTTGGAATTTATAAATGGCTTTATGGGCTCACCGAGGACTCAAGGAGAAGCTTGACAGTGGCAGGGAAGCGGGTATAGGGCAGGGCTCGTAGCATGGGATCCCCTGCGGACAAGAGGTTTCAGTTCTGTGTGATACTGATGTCATAGCTTGCGTTGTCATTGCTCTTTGTCCTTCTTTCCTCATAGTTTTGTATTCATAGCAGTTAGGCTTGGATCCTAACAAATGCTTGTTTAAGGCTAGGCACTCAGTAAATGCTGGGCTAATGAATGGATGGGATTGGCACCTTGGTATGCTGGGGAGGAGAGAAATCTTTTCTCACACTTTTATAGAGACAGTATTCCCAGGTGTGGGCCTTCCTTCTGTGTACACTATGGGCTTCTCAGGCCCTGCAATGGCTGTGACCTTGACCAGAACAGGGAGTAGTGAGCCCAGGTATTCCACCATGTGTTTCCACTGCATGAGTCTGTCTGTGTGTGGAGGGACGCACCTAGGGGGCTGGCTTTGTTTCCAAGCCTGCCGTTTAGTAGCTGAGTGACTGATTGTTTAGCCTCTTAAGTCTCACTCTCCTTATCTGTGGAATGGAGTCGATGGTAAATAGTACCTCCCTCATGGCTGTTGCTACTGAACACCCTCATGTTGTTTACTTACTATTTAAAATATATAAAATGATGCTAATCCATATAATTTAGCTTTTACTGCCATTATGAATTATTTTGTTTTTTAACTACTATAAATTTCACCTTGGCTGCCTGGAGCCAGCGTCACTCAAATAAAAGTACTTTCTCATGGGGGGTGGGGGGACAGTAAGGCCAGCTGTTTGGCCATTGTCCAGCCCAGGTACCACCTTTAAAAGGTAGGGGAACAATTTCAGGTCCATCCCAAATTTGTACTAAAACTGCCATACTCCCATGAGTTCCTTTTATAACCAGAGACAATGCAATAGCAACAACAACCATTTATAGTTATGCCCAGGTAATGTGGCAGGCACTTTCAATAAACCTTATCACAGGGCTGATATTATAAGATAGGGATTGTTTTCATTTCATAGAGGAGGTAACTGCCAGCTCAGAGATGTTAAGGAATATGCCCAAGATTCCACCCAGCCTGGCGGAAGGGCTGGACAACCAGAAAACTTCCATCACCCCCATTTACTGGGAGGCCCTCTTGCCAGCTACCTAAATTCTAGCTGTAACTTCCACAGGGAAGGAGTGCATGAGGGCCATTCTTAGGTGTAAGTGTACATGAGCAAAGATGTCCTTGTTGTCTTCTTTTTCTGTTCCTTTCGTAGACTAAGTACTTTCTCTGGATGGCCATATACATTTGACATGCTCAAGTCCAAGCCTTTTTTTCTTTTTCCAATCTAAATATTCTTATGTTCCATTGGGTGATTAATTTAATAGTGAGTCTCTTCCTCTTTCCACACTCAATACCAGCAGTATTTCTCCTGATCCATTTTCTTGTAACTCCTACACTTCACTAACCCAAACGTGCAGGATTATTCTAATGCTTATTGCATCTCTCTAATGCTTAATGCTTATTGCATTAGGAAGAAACACAGTGCTGATCTTAACGCCACCAACTTGTGGATTTATTTACCCTCTCCAATCCCCAGTTTACGCATCTGTAAAATGGGATTCTTACTATCTACCTGTGGGGTGGTTTTAAACATCAAATAAGAAAATATTTCTACTGGTCTGGCACCTGATAGGGATCTAACAAATGTTGGTTCGCTTTTATGGCAGCTGGTCACTTCCTCCAGAGCAGATTGCCAATGCCTGTCCATGCCTCTGTGATGATTTTCTCACTGACTGCACAGTTAAATGACCCAACAGCCTCACTGCACTCCAGAATTTCTGGGAGTAGGACTCAGCATCAGTATTTTTAGAAGTTGTTGCCATCATTCTACTATACCAGCGGTTCTCAACCTGTGGGTCGCCAACCTGTGGGTCGCGACCCCTTTGGGGGTCGAATGACCCTTTCACAGGGGTCACCTAAGACCATCGGAAAACACATATATAATTACATATTGTTTTTGTGATTAATCACTATGCTTTAATTATGTTCAATTTGTAACAATGAAAATACATCCTGCATATCAGATATTTACATTGCGATTCATAACAGTAGCAAAATTACAGTTATGAAATAGCAACGAAAATAATTTTATGGTTGGGGGTCACCACAACATGAGGAACTGTATTAAAGGGTCGTGGCATTAGGAAGGTTGAGAACCACTGTACTATACAGACAAGGTTGAAACCACTTCTCTATAGAGTTGAATTTTTAAGTCCTTTTTTAAAAAAAATTAAATTCAATGAACATTTACTGTATAAGACCTCCTTTGAGATAGGGATTACCTGGGAGGTAACCATATGTTGCTAACAGGTATACTAGTAAGTTAAGCAGCAAAATTAGAATCTATTCTCTTCCTAATGAAAACAGTGGACCTGCACTGTCTAATCAATAGACCCGCATTACATATGGCTATTTAAATTTAGAGTTAATCACATTCAGCTTAAAATTCAATTTCTAATTTAGGTTTGCCACATTTCAAGAGCTCAATAGACATATGTGGCCAGTGGCCACCATACTGGGCAGCATGCCTGAGTCACTCTCTGAGTTATTTCTGTCATCTCAGAAAGTTCTGTGGGACAGTCAGTGCTGCAGCAGACATCTCAATAGAGAGGAGACAGTGGGAATTTCTCAGAGAACCTCTTGTTCAAATAACCCACAGGATGAAGCCCTCCCCCCTCCCCCCATTTCCAGCCTTATCAGATTCTCTTGACAAGATCTGGGGATGGGAAGGAGCCTAAACATCAGGGATCCTTTCAAACAGATTCCAGCCTCTAATGAGTCCTTACCAGTTGGTTAAGCCAGGTGACAAACCCAATTCCCTGGTGCTGACAGCCATGGCAATCAGGCACCTTCTTTGTTCATTCTGCTGCCTTTAACCCCCGCATTCTTATGCAGCCCTGCATTTACTGATCACTCACTGTGACGGCACACTAATGAAGAAATAAAATACACGAATTGAGACTCATTCTTCCAGCCACAGAGAGACTCTGCTCCACTGGCTCATAAAATCAGGTTTTTGTTCACTTGGAGCACGACTAGACCAGGTGAACACATGCGGCATTGGCTAATTTAGCAGGAAACGCTTAAGACGTTCTGCAGACCATTTACATTGCTAGAGAACTTGAGAGAATTTAATGGCAAATAAACTTTAGCTTTGGGGAGATTTTCCACGGAGCCTCTGGCTAGGTTAACATTGGTGTCTGCCTGAGAGATAGACAATGTTTCAATGGAGGAATCATCTGAATATTTTCAAGAAGATAATCCGCACCTGTTAGAACAATACTTTTTAAATGTTCATGTGCATGGAAAGCACCTAGTGATCAGCAGAAGTCAGGCCTGACATACTGCTTTTCTAACAAGTTCCCAGACGCTGCTGATGCTGCTGGTCTGTGGACCACTTTTCCTTAGCAAAGAGTTAGAATTCAGGGATGGGCAAACTTTTTGACTCGAGGGCCACAATGGGTTCTTAAACTGGACCGGAGGGCCGGAACAAAAGCATGGATGGAGTGTTTGTGTGAACTAATATAAATTCAAAGTAAACATCATTACATAAAAGGGTACGGTCTTTTTTTTCAATAGTTTTATTCATTTCAAACAGGCCAGATCCGGCCCGCGGGCCGTAGTTTGCCCACGGCTGAGTTAGATCCTCCCTGATGGATGGTAGGAGACAAGGGACCCTCTGTTCCATGCCTGTAAGTTTCAGGCTGCTCTTCCACTCAGTGGTGACTCTCTGAAGATATTTCCAGGGTTCTGAACATTCTTCCTTAATGGAAATTGAATACTTCATTTATCTCCCACATGAAGAAAATCCATCTGGTTTGGAGTTGCATAATCCAATGCGCTCACTGTGGAGCTTCTTTTGTTTGTGTTTTCTTCCGGAGTCCCCACTAGGTTACTGCCAGAGAGGGTCAATGGGAATGGTCACCCAGGACATGCGGACCAGTCGAGAAAGGCGATGGCGCTTTTGGTGACATTTGCTAGCAAGGCAGGCACCGAGACCTTGATAGACACAAGGATGTCATTTAAGTTGATGAAGGGATTTTGATTTCATAAATCATTTTTTAGAAGAAATTTCAATGGGATTTTAATTCATGAAGTTAATGTCCTTTAACTCTGCAGATAACCAGCGCTTCCCCTTCATATCTCGTTCACCTTCCCTTTTCCTTTCCCTGTCATCAGGAATGTTGTCTGGCGATTCCAGTGTTGGAGCTGCATGCCTATGCAGGAGGACTGAGTGCCTTTGTCACTTAGTCCCTTGTTCAGTGATTATAGTGAGAAAGGTCTTCCCCAGCCACCCCTCCCACCCCCAGGAGGCTGAACCAATATTACACGTAAAGTAACTTTCCAACCCTTTATCTTGTTTTAAAATGTACCTGGGAAAAATGCCTTGTAGAAGAAGTAAATTGGTTTTGTGTATCTAGAAAGAAATGGCTAATTTGTTATTTTGGCAACTTTACTTCTGAGCACCATTACCAGAGTGGTTTTGCGTATTTTTCAATTGGAAATCTGTTCTTGTGCTGCTGGGTACTCCTTATTTAACTTGTTTGATGAAACTTATTTGAGCCCTGTGATCGGGAGCACTCTGTAAATAAGAGATTATTATTTTAGATTGCCAACTTAAAGGGCCTTCACAAATCTGTCTCCAAGTAAA